AAATTTGCTTTGTTAATACACTTTTATACGTTTATTATGTAGTGAATTGTTGATCGAGTCAGCTCTGTGGTGCAATCTTATCTTTAAATATTTAGCAATAATAGTTTTATAATTTCTGTACCACTTTCATAAATAAATTGCAGACAACGCTTAACAATATTGGCTTTTTCACAACCATCTAAACCATCAATTAAAAAAATATATAACAGGAAGTTTCCAACGTCCTGTTTACCATAAAAACTTCTTTTGTTTTGGGTTAATTATCATTATTGGTATCAGCACAAAAATCAATATAACCAGAATATTTATGGCCTGCCGATTCAATGGCCATTTCATCTAACATAAATAAACATACAACACTTTGAACAATTTTATAAGCCTCTTTTACTTTGCTATGAAAAGTAACTAAAGCTTCTTACAAAATCCAGGGGAACAGTTAACACTTTCATACCATTTTTGTATAATTCCTGGATGAAGAAGTGCATTATTAAATGTTTTCCTAACATAACTATATGCTTTAGCAGAATAAAAATTTAATGTTAATGCAAGGTTATTAACAAGGCCAAAAGTAGCAAGACTACGGCTAAGGCCAAGACCAATTCCAAAAGTTACAAGGCCAAGGCCAAGAGTTTTAAGGTCAAGGCCAAGAATAAGAGTTTCAAGGCCAAGGCCTACGCAAACATTTTCAAGCCCAAAGACTTGAATTTTTGCCTAACTTTAAGGCCAATTATTGACAAAACTGTAGGTCACAATTACTGTGACAATAAACCACATGTTGTAAAAATAAACCAGGTTTATGCGCAAAATTCTACGAAGTCAATAAGAAAACATACTTGTAGATATGTATGAAGCCGAAAACAAAAATACATAAAAATAAAGAATGAAATCATTTAATTCTTTAATTTTATGCACTTTTTTTGAAGGCCAAGGCCAAAAAAATTAAAGCCAAAAAGTTTAAGGCCAAGGCCAAGACCAAGATCAACAGTTTCAAGACCAAGGCTAAGGCTTTAATATTTGGCCTAAAGGCAAGTTAAAGACCAACAACTCTGTGTTAAAGCAAAGCTTCGTAATTCTGGTGGGTAATGCTTTTTAACTTTTCTTGTAAAACCTAACAAAATAACTGTTTTGTAGACTCAGACATAGCTCCCTAAAATTAAATAAATTAAATAAATACATTTTTAGTTACAACATCATATTTATACTTGAAAACCCATTGAAGTAAAATAGGGCATCATTGATTGGGGTATGAAGAAATAGATGAAATTATCACAATAGCATTACAATCGTTACAACAATTATTACTCTTATGACAAATACAATAATTAACTCATCGCTATTCCTACCATAATTGTGATGAACTAAAATTATCCCTAACTGTTATCTGATGATTAATGTAATAAGTTTTTAATCATAAAAACTTACTAATTTAAAATCATATTTCAACAATTGGTTGACTAAAATAAAATAATCCCAAAGGTATAACTTAAATAAGTAACAAATATTTAAAATTATTAAATAGACAAATAAAATAAAAAGTCACAAATAAATAATATGTTTAATAACTACTATTAATAAAAGTATATATTATACTATTAGTGTAGTTGATACTTCTTTAGAAATCATAGTATGATTCATGATTTTGATTCATCATATGATTCATACTTTTTGATTTAAAATAACAAAAAAATGAAAGTAAGTCTTTCATCTTTTTTTATTAAACAACAGTTGGATTGCTGAAGCATTTTAATTGTCTTATGTTTAGCAGCAAGATTACTTATAGTTGAAAAACTTTTTACTATTTTCTGGTGTTACCATGTCATTGTCATCAAATACACCAATGTATCGTTTACCATTGGTGTTAGGATTGATTTGACACTTTTCAACTATGTTTTTAAAAAAATCTCAAACATTAACATCAATATATGACAATGTAAAAGTAATTGTAAAGTATGCCATTGTAAAGTATTTACATTAGACTTACTGTATTGAACTATTGGTGATATTATAGTTAACATTAATGATATAATTATCAACATTATTGTTCCTAAATATATATATATATATATATATATATATATATATATATATATATATATATATATATATATATATATATATATATATATATATATATATATACATATATATATATATATATATATATATATATATATATATATATATATATATATATATATGTATATATATATATATATTTAGGAACAATAATGTTGATAATTATATCATTATTGTTAACATTAATGATTATCATTAACATTAATAATTAATGTTAACGATATCACAGATAATTCAATACAGTAAGTCTAATGGAATTATATATATATAGGCACATAATATATATGTTGCGAAAAGTAAACTTAAAAGTATTATCAATATATATTTCATTGCAAAAAAAATTAGTTACATTAGACTTACTGTATTGAACCATTGGTGGTATTATTTGAAATAATAGTTTGTCTATATTTTTGGTAGTTTTCTAGGATAAGTACTTTTCATAAAAGTGTTGGGAAATCAAATATAGATTGCATCTTTTTTTAGTTTCTTTTGTGAACTCCAAAGACTTCCTTCATACCTGTGTCACTGGCAGTAAAATGTTTACCACAAAGTTTAGACAGTTTACTAGGAGTAAGACTATCCCTCCGCATAACTTGTATCCATTTTCTCCTAAATTTCAGATCTTTCAGAAAACTACCAGCAAAAATAGGTATATTAAAATAATATGCTATTTATATTTGAAATAAAGGGTAAGATCTTAGCAAAGAATGATTTGTAGCTACATGAAAAGAAACCCCTTTAGTATATCTTTGAGTGCAATTATATGCAGAACAAGATAAAATCATGATCTTTATATACCTATATTCTATTTGAAAATTAAAATTTAAACAAAATAATATACGTAACAAATATTAAAACTTTAAAAGTGTTAAGTACATTAAGCTATTTTCGCCCTAAACCGATATTATAGTTTATTGCCCAAACGTAAAGTCACGCGCTAAAAGATGTCGGCTTCAAAATATTGTGAATATTAACTTGCGGTAAGGCGTGTCTATCAGTTTATATGGTCGAAGGTTGATTCAAGCTCTTAGGCAAACAATTTCTTCACTTTAGTTTTAATAGCTTCCTGTTCTTTCTCATCACTGCTTTCAACAAGTAAGACCAAAAGAACTTCAAAACACTCTTTTTCGTTTTTCATTACTCATCTCCTTGCTTTCAAATATTCTTTAGAATCTTTGTGCAAATTGAGGGACCATCAGAAGTCTGCTGGTGCAAAATTATAAATAGCAAAAAAGTACACAAATGTTGTTTGAATTTAAAACACTAAGTTTTTTTCACTAAGTTTTAACTGTTTAATATATTTTTTTGATATATGATATGAATATTTATGATATGCAAAATATAAATAATATTCTAACCATATTGACCAGAAAACCTTTTTTTATGGTGATTGCAGCAAACCCTAGTCGAGCCCTGATAGTCCTTCTCTATTATACCTTTTATGGTTCCTAAAAGAAATTTTTAATTTTTTTTTTTTGTGTTACATTAAACTAGATCAAAATTCATCGACAGATTTTCAATTTCATGAAAAAAAAATATACCGCATTATAATTATAATAATGATAATAAATGAAAAGAATATTTATTTCTGATAATTTATAATAATTTGAATAATGACTATTAAGATAATTCATTGAGAGAGAAAGAGAGTTGCAGATGAAATTGATTGAGAGAGAGAGAGTTGCAGATGAAATTTATTGAGATAGAAAGAGAGTTGCAGATGAAATTGATTGAGAGAGAGAGTTGCAGATGAAATTTATTGAGAGAGAAAGAGAGTTGCAGATGAAATTGATTGAGAGATAGTTGCAGATGAAATTGATTGAGAGAGAAAGAGAGTTGCAGATGAAATTCATTGAGAGAGAGAGTTGCAGATGAAAAAAAAATTTTTTAAAGATAAAATTCATTACTTTCTCACTATTTAACTCATTTTAAAAGTGTTTGCAAAGTTGATGTAAAGCAAAAGAGATGTGTATGAAAGGTTATAAAGTTATAAGATTATATTTTATGAAATTTATTAAAAATTAGACTGTTTTATGTTGCTATACAGTTGTTAAGGGCTTCTTTTTGAGATAGTATTCATAAATTAACATTTTCTGTCACAAAATTATCTATAAACATAGTAAACCAATAAATCTTAGAAATCAATAATCTATTTTTCGAATTTGAAGAAAAATGTTTTAGGCTAGAACCAGGTTAAAATTTTATACTACAAAACAAGCTTCAAAACGTTGGATTTTTAAAAAAGTTTTTAGCTTTTACTTTTTTTAAAAGGATTTGTATAATGTAAAATTTGAGTTAATTTTGTAACATTAAATTTCTAAATTGACAAAAAAAAAAACAAAACAAAAAAAAACAAAAACGGCAGATTATAATGTATTCAATACGTAAGCATTATTAACTAGTAAATTTATATAGCTGTATGGATTAAAAAAATGCGGAGATGGATAAAAAATGGGTAAAAATGTGATAAATAATAAAAAAGGATGAAAAAAACAAATGAAAAACAAAAAAAGAGATGTTTTATTTTGATAAATTGTGATATTTTAAACACAATAAAAATAACAGGATAATTTAGTTAAATTTGTTCTGCGTGATCAAAAGAGATCAAACAGAGAAACTTTTATATATCATTTTAAAGAACTAAACAGGTAGGTTCAAAGAAAATTTAACTTGTTTAAAGATATACCAGATTAATTTCAAACAAAAATGTTATATTTAAATTTAAGTAACAAAATTAATTAGTCTATACCTTTTATTATATTTTTATAACTAAAAAAAATAATAGAAAAATATAAACATATTTACATTACATTGCATATATTAAATAACTCATGTTATTGAATATTTATTATATATTATATTAACTATGTATTTTAGATTAATATATAACTATACATTTAAAACCTTTAAAAAATAAATTCTCATAAAAAAACAAAATATTTCTTTTTATATTAAACTTCTACGTTTGATTCAAAGCGACTGGAAACAACCTTTCCACCCTTTTGAGACAAGGTATGAATTTCTTTTTTCAGAAGATCGATTTCATGAGCCTGGAATCGAGCCTGTTGAACAAATTTGTTGCGTTCTTTTGCTTCTGATTTTTCGTTTCCCCGAAAGAGAGCACCCTGAATACAAACATTAAAAAAATTCAGTTATTTGAGAATCAATCATATACATGATTTAAATCTTTTATTGACGTCAAGAGGACATTCTTAAAAACAAACCAATAACAATACAAATCCACTTTATAACTATGAATAATTATAACAAAATTATAATAATTATATATTATTGCATAACTAACATAACAAGCATAAACTAACAATGTTGAAAAAACAACAAAACAAATTAAATAAAACAAAATCAACATAAAACATACAAGTCTCTTTTGCTTATTGTCAAGTTGTTGTTCTAATGTCCGTTGTTCTTGAAGAAGACTAGTATACATATCAACATACTTTGTGTTTTCGCAAATATGTTTCTTTAATTCAGATCGGTAGCTCTCTATGTGCTTCTACAACAAAATTATTACTACTAATTATCATAGTTTACTCATAACAAAAAAAAATCATATGATCACTTACATTCCATTCATAAATTTCTTTTGAGTACTGCATCTTCTGTTTTTTAAGTTTTTCTTTTAATTCCTCAGCTGCCCTGTTAACTGATACCAACTCTAATTTAGATAAGTCAACTAAGCGACCAAATTTTAACATCTGCATTTGTTGCACTTTTTCATCTAAGTTCTGAATCTAAAGAAATTTATTTTTCAACAGGCATGGTAACTGCAGGTGACTAACTTAAAATTTGTCAGGACCTGACAAAGTTTTTACAGCAACTAAGAAAAAAAAAAAAAATTAATTCTTTAATTACCTTATTTTTTAAATCTTTTCTCTCTCTGATCATCTGAGCATGTTGTTTCTTCCGCTCTCTGATTTCAATTAAAAAAAAACTTATAACTTAAACAATTTTTTATCATTAAAAATTTTAAAATCTGAAAAATTTTAAAGTTTCTTTTTTTTATTATTATCAAAACTTTAAAAATCTGTTTCTAAAACTACTGCTTATTGCAGTTATGCTGCAACAAGCTGCTTGTTGGATATTACAGACTTAAGTCTTTTTTTCACTTTATTTAACCTTCCTACGGTGGAGGGGTTGTAAAAATCGAGACTTTTCACTTTTTAAGTTGTTGCCACAACCCTCTGTCACACAAATTTCAAGCATCAAATAAATCAAAATGAATCTTTACAAAACCTTCATCGTTGAATTAACATTAAAGTTAACATTATCAATTTAAATAAATAAATATTATTAAATTAATGATAGGCTAGATGAAATTCTTTGTGTACAAAATGATAGAAAGGCTATTAATCATCCATAAAACACGTCACACAATTTTTGACTGTTTTTATCCCCACCCCCTCATTACAACATTATAAATCTTTTGTAACAAATCCTGTACGAGTCATTACAAAACCACTACCCCCTCCCCTAAAACGTAATTTATGGACAAACCCCAGGACAAATTGAAAATAGTCCATGCTGAAATGAAAAAGATAAGCTAAATTAATATGGAATTTATCCTCCACAAAATGTTTTTAGGAAAGTTGAAGATAATTTAAATGAAAAAATGTGGTTACACAATTTGAAAATAACTGTTGAAGAAACGAAAAAAAAAAAAAAAAGATAACTAATCAACTACAAAATGCTGTTAGATAAGGGAGAATCCATTGTATAGCAAAAAGTAATAATATTCCATAACAAAACTATTAAGAGAAATTAATCAAATTGCTATCATTGTGATGGTAAAAAACTTCCGAATGAAACACATTTTTTATGTTGCCATAATAGGTAGGTAGGATGTACTATATAGGAAGGTACACAATGGTCAGAAATGCTTGAAAATGCAAAATAATTCAAAAATACTAATTTTTAAAAAGAAACTCAACTTTTATGACCTTATAATTTTCAAACTTTCAAGAAAGTATACTTGAAATAATTTCTTTCTAGTGCACTAAATTATTACATTTCGTCCCATTAAAGGAGTCAGGGTAGAAATTAAATTATAGAAACTGAAAAATATATAAATATTTTTACTGTTTAAGGCTAAATTTTTTAATATGTTGATTCCAGTTTACAAATTTGGAGATAATTTGCAGCAAGATTATTCTTAAAAGAAGCTCAGTGTAAAGGGTTTAACTTTAAAAGAAGCTCAGTGAAAAAGGATTAACTTCAAAATCACAAAGAGTAAAGAATGCCAGATCGTTTTCAAAACTAACCAAATTCAAAAAAAAATAATTAAAAAAATCGAATTTCTGGTTTTTGTCCAACTCTGTGAAATTCTGTAAAAACCTCAAAGTATTGATTAAGAATCACTTAACCATTTATGCTTAAAATCATACCCCCTACGCCGCCTTTCAAAGTTAAAATAACTCGTTGGCAATCCTGAATTGCGAGGCAAATTTACATACGTTGCTGTATTTTATTTTCGCTGCTAAATTTTTGCGAAAAAAATTAAAAACTAAGATAAAAATTTGCAAGAACATAACTTTTAATGACGATATCATAATTTCAATTTTTCTGATTTTTTTTTTTAAATTGCTGTACTTCCGGGGTGTTTTTGCTCTTTCACCTAAGAAACAAACATGTCACCCAGCACGGCTATCACACATATTTTGGCAGAAAAAGTTTATCTAATGTATAAAAAATTTATAATAAAAAAAACTAACTTAAATATTTGCTTTTCCTTGTTTTTCTCTTTATCCAGTTCTTTGATGCGTGTCTCCAACCTATCTAAATTTTCTTGTTTAAATACTAAACACTGTGAAAGATCCTGTGGAAGCTTTTTGTTCACAACATATTGGATTTGGTCAAGTTTAAGAGTCACCACAACATCAAGCTCATTTAGTTTTTGCTGCTTTTCACGCTAAAATAAATTATATCATTTATTAAACATAAATATCAATGTCTAAATGACTTAGGCAACTCTAATTCTTACTAACTCTACATAGGCAACTTAGTTCTTACTAATTATTTACATATCAAGTAGATATTTTTTTGTGGTGCATTGATTTTTTTTTTTTTTTTTTTACTGCTGAAAGACCACTACTACATAAAAAAAAAAAAATTTAATTTAGTTTTAAAAGTACTCCAGGAACAGCTAATGACCTTGTCACAGAGCATCACAGAATAGTATTTAATAAAATGTTTCTAGCTGATCTAATGCCAACTATTAATTAAAAAAAAAAATTCAACTTCAGTCAAAAATGAAATTAATACTGAAACCAATATGTCTGTTCAATCTTTGCTGTAATATTGACTTAAACCTAAAATTCAGTTTGAAATGTAGCCAAAAGTTAAAGTTAATAACAATTAATAACTAAAATTAACCCTTATCTATATAAACTGACACCATATGAGGCATTAACATATAATGTTATCATTTTTTATAGCCAAAACTGAAAGTTGGAAAAGCTAATTCTTTTGTTTAATGTTGTTATTATATGTAACAAACTTTGTGACAATAAAAGTTATCCCAAATAATTTTAATTGATTTAAAAAAAAAAATGATATAAAGGTACAAAATAAACATATCTACAAAAATGAAAAAAAAAATTTCAGTTTCAATTCATACAATTATTAAAATCCTACTCATTCTAGATTACAGAATTAATAAAACCTGAACACATGATAAAAAAAAAATTCTTTATCAAATTAAACGCTAAAAAAATCAAACTTCTAATCTCTGGTTGAAGTCATGTTACAAAACAACATAATTCACAAGTAATCCCTAAATCACCATAATATTCATGAGTACTCCCTAACACCTCCACAATAAATCAAAGCATCTCGACATCTTTTGATACATATATACACACATACACAAATAAAATCTCTAGACATATATACACACATACACAAATAAAATCTCTAAACATATATACACACATACACAAATAAAATCTCTAAACAAAAAATATAACATTCTAGTTATATTCCAGCTTTAAAATTGAGGGTGTGTCAAGCATTCTTTTTAAAAAATAATATACAAACCTTCTCCCCTCCCCCTCTGGTTTTAACTAAAATACCAATTTAACTAAAATTTAACTAAAATTTTAACTTAATAACACAAAAGAAAGATGTTTTATCAATAAAGTAAATATTTCCAACTTGAGTTGATTGTGAGTTGACAATCTCTTAGTGTACCATAGAGTAAAAAAAAACTTTTAAATACCCTACCATTATACTAATTGATGTGAAAATTTTGAAAATAGTTATTCAAATTTTAGAACATAAAAAATAAATAACAAAAATAAGAAAGGGATTAATGGAGGAGAACATTCTGAGTGCTTAGAATAAGCAAAACCAAGTCATATAGGGTAATGAGACGGTAAACCAAGACACTTGAACACTAATTTATGTAATACAACCCATATAATAACTTTTGAAAGCAGAACTAATAATTGTTAAAATCTTCTGATAAAATCCTACAAAGTATGTTGTAAAACCTCAGTAATTTTGTCTCCAGAAATATATACATTTATTTATATGCATTTATCTAAAACTATTTTTTAAATCAATCTAAAACAAACAAAACTGTAAACGAACTACATGGATAAATCATGTTTATAATAAAATTCTTTGACTATGTTAAATATAGTATACAATTTATATCACATAAATCAACAACATAATTTGTGATATAATAACCACCAATCATATAAACAATACATCGCTTCACCAGTATTTTAAAGCAAATGATAATGAGTTCTGCATTTCAAAAATCAACTCCACTTCCCTTTTTTTTCAGACTTACTCCATAATCCATTACAAACATAGTATTCTCAGTCTTGAACAATAAAATTTTTACCTTTTTGACCTTTCCTAATGACCTTTTATTATCTGTTTTTTGTTCTTTTAATTTTGAAAGAAAAAAATTTGATGAGGGTTAAACTTGTATTTATCCCCAAAATAAAAGATTACAGAATATAATGAAGTTTACAGAATGTAACAGAATTGTGCTTTAACTCATAAACACAAATGTCCATAAACATTATTTAATAAAAGGCATTAAAACATAAAAACATTATACAAAAACCTCATTATCTTTAAATAATGTTTTCTTTCTTAGTAAAAGGTCTTGGTGTCCTTTTGAAAATGTATTAAGAAGATCTCTTCCTGCAACACTATCAATTTTATAAAAGGAGTGAATTTTATAAATGGGTGAACTATGTTGTATTTTTTCACATATTGGAGTATAGTTTGTTAAATATCATAAAAACATTTCTATGCTAACAATAATTTTTTTGATAATTATAACAATGACTGTTTTTTGCAATATTGAATTCTACTTCCAATAAATTCAAGATTAAAATTAAGGAAAGTTTGTTCATTGAATGGAAAAATCCAGATATGAACAAACAGTTGAACCATTACAAGATATCTCTTTTCACATAATAGTTACCATTTTATAAGTCGTTAACCTTTTGTTGAATAATTTAATCTTTTTTATTATTTTGTTGTAATTAATAAAAAATTGTAATTTATATTTTATTACTGTAGAATATTTGTATATAAAATTAAATTAGTTTTTCAAACCAAACAGATAACTATAAAATAGTTTAAACACGTATTACTGTTTTATTTGTTAAAAAATATGGTTTTTAATAATAAGTGGAAAAATTTTGTCTTATTTCTCTCTCTGTCTCTTCATATATATATATATATATATATATATATATATATATATATATATATATATATATATATATATATATATATATATATATATATACATATATATATATATATATATATATACATATAGATATATATATATATATATATATATATATATATATACAGGGGTGGGACCGCAAAATGTGAACGTTTTTGTTTTATTATAACTATTTTCTCGTTAGATGTAGTTGTACTCTCTCACTCATCAGAAAGTGTCTAAAGAGTTGTTAAATATGAACTATTTTAAATAAGAATGTCCAACCATTGGACATTCTTATTTAAAATAGTTCATATTTAACAGAAAATTAATTATTACAATCAGAAAAGTGTTCACATTTTGCGGTCCCACCCCTGTATATATAATGCATTGAAATTTTTTTTATAAAAATTAACAGTTTATTTTGAGAAGACTATCAGACTCGGATCATTTAAAATACTGTTCAGCGGCAGCTACAACCTTCTTCCATTTTTTAGGTACATGCGTATATTCTATGCTGGAAACAGTCTTGGTCTTTTGAGGTAATCCAGTCATCTATCAATTTTTTGGTATCATTAAAAGAAGAAAATTGCTACTTGGCCAGGCCATGTATCAACGAGGCCAAGTAGTAATCAGAAAGGGCAACATCTGGTGAATACAGTGGGTGGAGTAGGATTTCCTATTTGAGGATCTCCAGGTAGTTTTTTATAATATTTGCAACATGGGGTTGTGCGTTATTATGTTAAAGAATAACCTTATCAAGTCTTTGGCGAATTACAGCCTTTTGTCCTTCAATGCTTGACTCAGCTTGTTTAATTGTTCTTGGTAACGGTCTGCTGTAATAGTCTCATTTGGTTTAAGCAGCTCATAGTATAATATTCCAAGCTGGTCCCACCAGATACAGAGCATGAGCTTAAAACCATGAATATTTGTTTTAGCTGCCAATGTTGATGGAGAATCCTAAATGCAAAAAAGAATAAGCTTAACCTTTTTTGCATTTACGGTTGTAGTAACATATCCTTTTTTTATCACCAGTAACAATTCGATGCAGGAAATCTCTTCTTTTTTGTCGTGTTAGCAGCTGTTCACAGTTAAAAAATAGTCTTTCAATGCCCCTCAATTTTAACTCATACAGCACCCAATTTCCATGCTTCTAATAATTCCCAATTTTTTTAATTTCAAAAAAGATCAACAGTTTCAAGCGCCTATAAACTGTTGTTTGATTGATTCCCAATGTTTCTGCTCTTCCTGTGTCTATCATCAATCTTTATCAAGTAATTTTCATCAGTATCTTTAAACTTTTTCTCAGCACCAAGATGTTGTTCCACTTCAAGGTCAAAATCACCAACCTTGAATTGTTCATGTTTGTTCTGAAGAGCATTGTTGCTGTATGTTTCATTTAATATTTTATGTGCCTATGCTACTGTTGTCTTTTGGTGGAAGTAATATAAAAGAACTCCCCACAAAAACAATTTTGTAGGCACAAACTCAGCTTTACCCACAAAGTTCAGTTTTACCCCATTTTACTCTATATAACAAGCAATTAATTCTAAACAAAGGAAAAAGAAACAAAGTAAAACAACAATATTCAAAAAAATATTTTAATATAAGAAACTTTTTCATTAAAAAAAATTAAATTATTTTTTGAATTGTTTTTGTTTGCAACAATATTAACGCATATTGAAAAACATCTAAAGATTTTGATTAACCCTTCTTGTTATGCATGTTACAAAGGTCTCAAACAAAAACTACTCAAGCGGAACACTTATGCTTACGCAATATTTATGCCAAACACTAGTGTGTAGCGTTTGGCATAAATATTGTTTATCAACCAACCTGTTTATTAACTGTAGATACATTTAGCATCTGGTTAAGATATAAAAAACGGGAAAAAGACGAGACAGATAGATATAGTTGAAGTAGAGAGAAAGTCGTGGTCAAAGTCAGGATTAAATTTAAGGTCAAGGTCAAAGTCGAGGTGTCAGTCAGTAGAGTTGGATGTCGATGGTCAGTCAGTAGAGTTAGTGAACCATAAGAAGCAATAACAGACTAATTAATTACGAGACGAACTGTTTAAAGAATATTATAAATTGTATTATTACAAATTGTGTAACCATTTATATTTGGGAAACAATACAAAATTTTATATTTGATGAAGTTTTAGTAGTTAAATCAATTAAAACTTTTATATTTTATAAAATATTTTTTAAAAGAACTCATTAATTTTTAATCAAGAAAATAAATTTGTGCTCTTGACAGACACAAAATCACTTAATAATTTTCCTGCAACAAAAAGGCAGTATTTTTCTTAGTTCAGTGAAAACAGTATAGAAAATAATACTATGTATTCCTACTTACCATACAAATAATCAGACATCTTTTGTTGATGGAATGTATCTCTTTCCATATTCAAGCATCTCTCTTTTTAAGTTCACTACAATGTTTCCCTCTGTTTGTTCATTAACTCCATTATCAAAGATAAAACTGTAATTTCTTCTAAAAAGTACCGAAGATGTTGACAAAAATTGTTCAGGGCTGCTTAAGAGATCAATTGTCAACAACTTCATATTCTTTTTTATTTTATTAATTTGGTGCCTTTACCAACTTGGACTACATTCAAGCCATGGTTTTACATATATAACTGCAATAATTAAATGTCTTGAAGTGCTTGTTGATCCTTGGTGCTAATTTTGATCTGAGATTGCAACAAATATATCTTTAAAGAGTAAATAGCTCTAGCTATTCACCTTGCTTGATGCAATGCTCCAGGGAGTCTGATTTTAATTTTTTCTTATTATCACCTACTAAGAAAAAAACAAATAGTTCAATCAGTTCCCGATAAGCATCACATTCTATAGTATTTTGCAGTTCTCAATTATAAAATGTTAACAACTTTTCAATTGTTGTATTACTAAAATATTGATTGACTATATCAGTGTATGTTTCAATGGCAGCCGAATTAATAGTTTTCCAGTTGTCTCTAAAAGTTGTCCCCTCTGTCTTTTTGAACATTGGGTTATCAGGGCGACTTGTGACTTGGTGGATTTTCAAACACACATTTTAAAACCAGTTTGTAAACATGATAGCAGCAAGCAAAAAAATTCCGTCTACTTTTTGTTTCAAAAGTACATTAGCTCTTTTTAATGGTCCAGTATTAGACGCTTTTGTGTCACAGCACATTGTCATCAAGGTTCCAGTCAATAAGTGTGTTTAACACAGCATCAGCTTGATCTTGGCCAGAAGAGTTCTCCAGCCAGCAGTTGTTTCTTTTCTTCAAATGAAATTAAAATTGCCAGACATTCTTATTTAGAACTTCTTATGTCCATTCCAGTTAATAATTTCCCATCCCAGTAAATGGTCAACATTTCAGGCATAATGTTCTTAAAATCTTTTTATAAAAAGAATACAATAATATTAGCTTATGTAACTATGCAGAACATTGCGGTGCATCTGTTTATCACAAATTTAAAAAAATTTATGTGAACTATAAAAGAACCACAAAACACAAAAAAAGCTCATTCTGTACATAAACCTATCTTGGTATAATCAACTGTATCATCTAAAAAAAAAACTTACACAAGCTAACAGTATGCTTTCTCTAATTCGTTACTATGTTCCTATCCAAACTCTTTGAATGATTTATTTTTCTTTATTCTCTTCTCACCTTTGCTATTGTTCTATTGTTTGGGGTCAAAAAAAAAACTTTTTACTTAACAACATTGCTAGTTTACAACGCGCATCTATTAGAATAATGAAGTTTTCCCCAATGTGATCTGATATCGAAAAAAAAAATTCTGAACTAAAAATCCTAAAACTCCATAATCTTGTAAAGTTTTATAATTGTCTTTTTGTGTTTGACTTTCTCCAAAATAAACTACCAAGCCCTTTTTCAAATTTTTTTATTAAAACAAACGAAGTTCATAATCATCACACCAGGAATATAGAAAATAGTAAGCTATACAATTCTTTTTTTAACACAATCAAATATGGTAAGTTTTCCATAAAACAACAATGTATTTCTCAATGGAACCAGTGTATTCCTGCATTAATAAAAAAGTCTTAGAAAAAATATCCACTTTTTACGAATTTTTTACTGCTCAACAGAATTTAATTTAAAAATATATTGCTGGAGTGTATTTCTTTATAATTTCTCTCTGTACTGTAGTTGTCTTCAATATATAATCTCTTTAACGAACAAGTGGTTTGATTTTTACTTTATTTATTATTTACCTATCTTATATTTATTTATTATTGTGTTATTAATGTTACATTTTATGTTATTATTATATCTAATTATCATCTATGATTTGTACATACAATTTATATTGTATTATAATATTCTTAATATTATTGGTACTTTATTATTATTGTTATTATTTTGTATTATTACTATTATCATTACATATATCATTATTATTTGTTTAACAATCTTTTCTTCTTTTCTCTCTTATTTATATATACAGATGTTGAGTTTTTCCTTTTTTTTTTTTTTCAATTTATTTATTTTTTCGTGAAACTTTTATGTTTTTTAGGTGTCACTCCATTGACTAGTTTGTAACTATATGAGTGACACCTAACCAATTTATATTAATTTACGATGAAATTTGTAAATTTTATTGATATGGTTGAATAAGAAGAAAAAAAAAAAAAAAAATTCTACAAATAGAAGAATTTGACACACTAAAATAAGAATTTTCTACAAAACATTTAATTAATAGTCAAAAATATCTTTAATATATAGTTTGCTTAATAAAAAATGAATTTTTTATTAAGCAAACTGCATTAAGTACATAATTTCAGACACCATATTGGAAAATGATAAAAATTTTGACTACCATAACAGCTGACTTAATCAAAACATTTTAAAAATTAAAAAAAAAACAAAAAATTAAGTTTAATAATAAAAATATGCATACTTAGCACATTGCATACTTAGCACAGTTTAATTTAAACTGTGTTTACTAATGCATATAACTGATTAAATGCAAAAATATTTCAGTCTGGCGATCAATTTCAGTGAATTATGTCTTAATGGTGTCACTAGAACATCAACCTAAGATGATATTAAAAAAGATATATCCCTGTAACAACCCACAGACATTTTGTGAAATTTATTTAAAAACTGAAAAGTAAAAGAAAAAAAAAATCTTACACTATCAAGATACATTTCCATACTAAAGATTCTAAAAGATTCTAAAGATTTTAAAATAAAATACTATGACTAGAACACTAAAATAAACTTCTATCTGCATGGTAAAGATATCTTCAAGATCTTGCACAATACTGATGCACCACTGAAGTGATAGAAACTGGACTTTTGCAATTATTTAAACCTATCCAAAGCAAATAAACATTAGAGACTAGTTAATAATTGAAGTTCATTAACATTTTAGCACAATTTTTGGAATTGTGAAGTAAAAGATTCTGTTTCAATGATTCAAACCTTGATACTAAAAACTATATGTAATTTTTATATTATAATCTAACATATATAATATATAAAAATAATATTTTTAAGTAACTTTATTTCTATTCTTATGTTGTCAATTATTATTGCTATTATTTTCAGCTAGAAAATAATTTTTCAACAAAATTGACATTGCAAGAAAAAAAAAAGATATATAAAATGTGATGTATTAAAATTACCTGAAAACTTTCAAGATCTGTTCCAGCACTAATAAGAGCTGCCTCTATCATTTTCTCCTTTTTTATTAATGCATCAAAATCTCTCTTCATCACATCATAACTCTTTTTCGCCTCTATTGAGATCTCCTCTAAATCCATTTTTCTTTCACGAAGTTCACAAACTTGATCAAAGATTGCCTAAAGAATTTTTAAAAAGATATAGATACTGAAGCCCCTGCCTATGGCTATTTTAAAACATCAACCTTAATGTTTTAATAAGCCAATAATTGTTGAGCTCACAATAGAGGCAAGACTTTTCTAAAATCTTATTACAAATAAATTTAGCTCACTCTGTTTAAATTAAATTTTATAAAAAAAGAGTTTTAGTTTTATTTACTTTTAGAATTGTTGTTTAAATGGTTATTAACTTTTAATTAATTACTTTTAGAGTTATTGTTAAGTTAATTACTTTTAAAATTGTTGTTCAACTAGCTAATTACTTTTAAAATTGTTGTTTAACTAGTTAATTACTTTTAAAACTGTTGTTCAACTAGTCAATTACTTTGTTATTTTTTCCCTCTTGTTGAGTTTATTTTTAGAAAAAAAATTAAATGAATTTATGTTACCTATCAGTATGCAGGATAATCAATTTTTAATTTAATTTTTTAACAAACAAGTAGTAGTAAGGCATGAGAAATTTTTAACATAGGCATGTTATAACAGGGTTTGGGAAAGAGAAAGAAATATTTTATAATTAAAAAAAAATTCCATCAGGAGCATTATACAAAAAGCAACAAAGAGAACACAAAGAAAGTTGAACAAAAACTAAAAAAGTTTTTTAGAAATAGTTACTGAAAGATGGCATAATGAAAAGATGGCTTCTCGAAATATCTTTTAATTATGTCATCTTTCAGTTAATGAAAGATGGTATAATTAAAAGATGGCTTCTCCATCAATTTAATCTAATGACAAACTAATTGATGAAAGAGAAGACACAATAAATACAAAATCTAATAAATTGTGTAATACTGGCACTAAAGAGTAAAACTGAAAAAAAGCTTTTGAACATGATAACTTTGTTAGCCTAGCAGAAGCTAGTGTACAATCTTTGAAGATGAACTTTGTATTTACATTACTTTGTACTTACAGTTTCCTCATTTGATATACTCTTAGCTTTATATTTTATTTAAAAACTCATTTATAAAAAATAAATAAAAAAATTATGAAATCTAATTTCTAACATCTCAAAACAAAACTATTTCTATTCAAGTTTTTACATGAATGCATTCAAGTGTGACAAATGTAATTATTGTTATTCATAATTATTTAACTTTGATAAATATTAAAAGTATGCAGTTTTTAGAAAGAATACAGTTTCATCGCTTACTTATTAGGTTATGTTGATATAAAAAATAGTTTTCACTTGATGAAATAATGCTGATAATATATATTTTTAACGCTAAAACTAAATATAGCTTAATTCTCAAAAATATGGTCTAAAAAAATATACTAAAATATATATACTAACAGCTAGTATGTTTTTTGCCATATTAGATAACATTTTTCTAATATATATATATATATATATATATATATATATATATATATATATATATATATATATATATATATATATATATATATATATATATATATATATATATATATATATATATATATGTCTATATATATATATATATATATATATATATATATATATATATATATATATATATATATATATATATATATATATGTATATATATATATATATATATATATATATATATATATATATATATATATATATATATATATATATATATATATATACTTTATATATACTTTATATATATACTTTATATATACATTATATATATACTTTATATATACTTTATATATACATATTATTTTGATATATTATATATATTATTTATATATTATTATATATACATGTCATTTTATGTATGCATATTATATATATATATATATATATTATATATACATACACATACCTGATCACATCCTTGTGGACAAACACTAAAATCAAGCTCTTCCTCACTTCCATCATCTTCTTCTTCATTGTATTCATCATCAGTATCATCAGTATCACTATCTTCACTCTCGCTATTTTCACTAGAAGCTACTTTTTCAACACTGTTTTCTGAAGATAAAAAGTTTTAGCTTCAAAATATATTCATAAAAATTAAGTGAAAATAAGTGTGCAAAAGTATTAGTGCACTCATTTAAAAAGTATTAGCACGAAAAATTAATTTCTTTTAGAAATAATTTTTAGGATTCTTTTTGATTGATTTTTGTTAATTAATCTTTGCTAATTAATAATAGTCAATAAAAAAATTATGTAAGCAACAAAAATGTCATTTTAAACTCATTCAAAATTTCAACTAATTGCAACAACAAAAATATGGGTTTAAAAGGCATATTCATTAAAAAAAAAGTGGCAAGTTGCTGGCATGGACAATATTGGTTTCAGCAATTGAGAAATCGGACATCAACTTAAGATCAGTGAATGCAGTATTAAAATAATACTCAAAAACTATAATGGGTTTGGCTCATTGGAAAACAAAAGTCACTCTGGTTGTCCTGAAAAAATGTCAGAAAACGACAAAAAATAAAACAATTATGCTTGTTAGACAACTTAAACATGAGCATAACTGTAATCGCCTCAGACTTGAATACAAGTTAGCAAGTTGATGAAGAAAAAATAACTCAATTTGTACCTTGCAACAAATAAACCACTACTAAGCATCAAGACTGTATCAAGCAAAGAAAATGGTGCAAAGAAAGAGCTACCTAGACCCTACTTAGTGTAGACAAAAGTACAATGAAGAAAAGTAATTTTCTTGGACAAGTCAAACATTACACTTATCATTTGCAAGGAAAGGATTTTAGGGAGGAGAGACAAAAACAAAAAATACAATACTTGTATAATCTTGTCAAGACTTTACGAAGGCTCAATTGTCATTTATAGCAGCATTGCTGGATGTACCACTGGCCTCGTGCATCTTTATACTAATTTCCTCATTCAATACAGGTATAGAGAGATATTAGAAGATTATTTACAGCCTTTAATGGAAATTTTCGGAATTAACTTCACTTGTCAATTTCAGCAAGATAATGCTTCTTGATTTATATCCTATTGAGAATCTTTGCTAAAAATTGTAAAAAAGCAAAGCTTACTTGTTGCAGATCAAGAATCAACTCCAAGCATAGCGGAATAATGTGGTACAAGATCTAATAAAAACTTTCATGCCTCATAAAGTTGTAGCATGTCTTAAAAACAAAGATGGCCATATAACACATTTAATTTTCTAAGAACTGTTGAAAGATTGTAAGTGCGCTAATACTTTTGCAGACCTTTTTTATCTTATATTTGTCACTCATACTGTAAATAAATTCTAAATAAATTCAAGATAACAAAACAAAATATATTCTAAATAAATTAAAGATAATAAAAAAGAAGTATTTTTTATTATTTAAAACTTTGTTTTCTTTTATCATTAAATTAAAAAAAAAAGAATAATCAGTCTTTTATTGTTTTCACATAATACTAAAATATATAAATATATTTAAATATAGTTTAAATATATATATATATATATATATATATATATATATATATATATATATATATATATATATATATATATATATATATATATATATATATATATATATATAAATTTAAACTAAGTATTCAATGTTTAAGAAATGTTTATTAGTAAAAGTAATAACAACATAAGCACCTGGGCTGTTTCGCTTTTTTGTTCTTTTGACTTTTTTTTTAAACACTTTTGTAAGGAAACTTTCAAACTTATTGTTTTCACCCAACACCTTAATAAAGGAATTATATACTGCTTTTTCTTTCTCTTGTAATTTTTCTAGCTCATCAGCTCTATTTTGTAATAAAGCAGCACTCTCAGCAACCTGAAATAAAAAAATAATTTAAAGTATGAAATATATAGAAAAAAGCAAGTGTTTATTTAAGATGCTATATTAAAATTGTTTCTATTTTACAATAAAAAAAAAACCAAACTAAAACACTGCAATAATGAAAGTTAGAAATTAAAATAAAATAGAAAATAATTTATCTGCAAAAAGGTAAAAATTGGTTGGAAACTGAAGTTCTGACATAGACACTCTGAGACTTGTTCAACAGCCTCCAACAAGGCTGCAAGCAAGCACTATTAGAGACCAAGATAACGATTAATAGACAACTTAAAAGAATGCAAATTATATGAATCAGGAAAACATGACGAGAGCGAATTCCAAATTAATGGGTGAGGAAAAAAACTATTAGTTATTACTGTTAACAAATTAGCAGTAGAACGAAAAGATCAAAATCCAAATTGAAGATCAGAAGGTAAGTTATTAGATTCAAAATGAGAGATTAAGTGTTTGTTAATTAAAAACTCAAAAAGCTTGCTTATGATAGAAAGAAGACTAATGGGACGGTAGTTAGACGAGTCAGATCACTCTCCAGAATTTTTTAAAATAGAGATAACATATGCCACATTTCAGCAGGTTGGAAAAAAAGATTCTGATAAGCACTTGTTTAATAGTTTTGAAAGTACAGACAACAGCTCCAGAGAACACTTCTGCAAGACCAACACAGGTATGTTGTCTGGACAACAAGCTGAAAAAGAGTCTAAGCAGGAAATCACTTTAGATACATAAGATGGATTGATAAGAATGTAGAGCAATGAATTAACTTGTTTGTTGGCTATATCAGGTAGGATGCAATCAGTGGAATTAAGAGATGAGATTGATGAAAAGTACTTAGTAAACAATTTAGCTTTGTCTTTAGGTGAGGAAACAAAATTTGAACCATGCAAGGGAGGAGGTTATTATAGACATTGTTAAAGATTCTCTAGAAGTCTCTGGAATTAATTTTTGAGATAAAACTCAAGATTTTGTGACCTGAGAAAACAGCTTTTGGCGTTAGACAAAACCTGCTTACAATGGTTTCTAGAAATAGTAAACAAACATCTATTTTCTGGAGAATTGTTTTGGGGATAGATACGGAAGTAATGGTTACATTTGGAAACTGCAGCATCACAAGGAGAAGAAAACTATAAAGAAGAGTGAGGCTTCACTTGGAATTGTTGAAAAGGAATAAAAGATTCCATGCCAGCTTGAATCCAAGAAATCACATAAGAAGCAAATTTGTCAGCAGGAAAACAAAATATTTCTATAAGGGCCATCACAAAGAAAATTATGGAAAGAGTCCCAATCAGCTATGAGGTAGTTATAATAGGTACAATGAAAGTAGGATTTTGAAGATGAAGAAGAATGAGATAATAATTTTAGAGAGATTAAACCATAATCAGAAGGACCTAAGAGTGAATGTAGAGAAACTGAGCACTGACTAGGTTCAGAAACAAGACATAAGTCTAATAGAGAAGGAAAATGATATATATATATATATATATATATATATATATATATATATATATATATATATATATATATATATATATATATATATATATATATATATATATATATATATATATATACATCAGCCTGGAACAAATCACGATTAGGGATAAACATGTTTTCCAAAATGTCACGATACTTATACTGGTTTAATCTTCTAACCTTGTATAATTTATTACAGCCAACCCCTGAGCCTGGTACACACACCCCAGGGTGTTAACCAGGAATAAATTTGATACAGGGTTTTAATGAAATTGGGAATTTGTTGAAGTATTTCTCAATCACCCCCTCCTCCCCTCAGATTAAAATATGTTCTGGGAAAGCATGGGGTCCTTTTTTGGTGTTCTTTTTTTTTCTACTCTACTTATGCGCTGCATACATTGATTGATCAGCACCAAAAATATAATAAAATACAATCTGTATCATTAAAGATGAATATGAAATCAACTCAAAATTAGCTGCTGTTTCACGACACGGCAAACTAAGAACTGATTTCTGAACATATATTAGGAAAAATATCTTTTTTTTATTATAAATTAATCAGTGTATATTAATTATTATTGAGAATAATTATTTTGATTTATTTTTAATCTTTATATATTGTTGCTGCTTTTATTTCAAGAGTATTATTTTAAATATATATTTCTTTTCAATGTAATATAGTAAAATAGCAATCTCCAATGAGCCAATGATCTTCTACTTCTATTTATTATTTAAATTCTGCTTGATGTATTTTACGAATGAACCCTTACATCATTATGTAATAAATTGAGTCATCAAAAGAAATTTTTTGAAAATAGATAAGGTTTTAAAAATAGTAAACACAAGCTCATAAATTTCATATTTCACATTTTTTTATTCATAAATTACATAGCGAAATAATGTTATAATCACAAAGTCTCAGCAAACACAACAATAAATATCGTTTAATTATAGAGTAATATTATTAGCAAGCGATTGCACTCGTGGCATCGAAGAATACAGTAAAAAAGTAAAAAACTTTAGCAAATTCAGTTGATATAAAATACCAAAAAAAAAAGAAAAACAATAACTAAAAGATTTTCCGTAATATCCCTAAATTGATTAAAAGGTATCTGACATAACCTTTTTGATGTTTTTGTTAACGAATTACATGTACTACTTAAAGTTAAGTTTACGGTAAGACTCAATAAGTTATTAAACTTTTAGACAAAAAGGGCAAAACTTTTAAAGAAATAGGATTTGCGGGTGTTAAACCAAACAAGTTTGTTATTATTTTGGATCTTTTAGATTAGTACTTTATTTCTTGCTAACTTTTTTATATAATATTTGCAGTTGTTGGAATGCATTGCAAAAAACTATTTTCAAATTTTATTGCAAGTTGCCACAAAAATCGCTCCAAAAATTCCAATTCTCATGATGTTTTTTCCAAGAAACCAATTTTCACAGTTATGCAATTGCGTTTTTATACCAATAATGGCGATTTGATTTCATGTTTTACGCAATTAATGAATTAGAATTAATTTTAAATTATTTTTAGAATTAATATTAAACTTTAATTTTGAAAACTTTTTTTGGAGAATGGGATTTTTTCATCTTTAAGTTGGGAATTTTAATTTTATGAGCATTTGGGAAAACCGAGTTTGACGGGGCGCCACAGGGCTAGTTTACACCCTGTACCCATATGCCGACAGAACCACCAACTTTCTGAATACGGCTTAGTAGCTGTTGATTCAAATATTTTCCGTTTTTTTGCGACAAACAAATCTCTTTTTTTTCTGTTAACAATTTTGAAACAAATTTGATTCATCACTAAAGATTTTCCATTGTTCACTGAATAATTTAAATGCTCTTTGCACCATTTTTTTTGCCTTTAGCCATCGGTTAACATCAACAAAGGCTTTCTTACACCATGAAACTAATTTAGTTCTTTCTTGTGTAATAACTTACTTATTGTCATTCCACTAATTGTTTTGTCTACCAACGAACTATTGATTTCTGCACTTAAAGTGATACTCCTGCTTTTGGGTTATGTCTCCTTAGCATACAAAGCATGTTTTCATGATGTGCTGTCAATTTTTTCGGACGCCCAGTACGAGGTTTATCATTAACATTACCAGTTGATAAATAATTTTTTATTGTTGTACGAACGTTGAATTCAGAAATATTTAGGTGTCTGACAATTTCTCTATTGCTCATTTTCATTTTATGCATTCCAATGACTCGCCATTTTATTTTTGACAAAACAGCTTTTTTACCCATGAAATTATGATATTTTGACAATGTTCAATCAGTTGAAAATTACTGAATTTTGAATCAAATCGTAGTTGCGGTTTTTATTCAAAATAAAATAAGAATAGGGATCCAGATGAAATATTCTAACGCTAACAGGCTAATGAGCAATAAAATTGCAAATGACTTCAATAAAAAATCTCTCAATAAATGAGTGTTACGCGTTTTCTTATCAAAGTGCATTTAAAATTTATTTCAAAAAATTGAAAGGAGTTAATTGCTCCGTAAATTTTCTCATCACCCTCCACCTCCTTTTTGATATCCATACAATTTTTTTTCTTCTCTAAATTAACAAATTATAGCCATAGTATAAATAAACATAAAAAAACAGAACACATCTCATCAATTTATTGGGTTATCATTTCTTAAAATTATTATATACATTAAAAAAACAAGTGTGTTTAAACTTTCTGTACAAGGTGTATGATTGTTACAGAACGGAAAGTGTAGTAGTTAGGTTAATGTTATTTTTAATTAGCTAATAGTTATGAAATAGTTATATTTATATAATATCATATTGTGTTATATGAAATAGTTGTATGTCAGGTCAGGTTATCCATCTACTAGTAAAACGTAACCCAGTACAACCTGCTTCATGTCTTGCTGCCTTTTAGGATATGCTTTTTTAGGCAGAGACTAGGAGATGCCAACTCCAACTTAAAACACCCCCATCTCTAGGCTGTACTAAACCAAAAACCCCAAGTTTTTGGTTTAGTACAGCCTAGAGATAGTGTCAGTATAAAAATATTTATCTTGGGCATATGTTAAACGCATTCAGCTACTGTCTTGTAGAAGGCCTCCTAGGCGAAAACTTAAGGGATAAACAGATTCTATCTGTTGACCAGCTTTGCACCTATTCTTACTCTATTACGCTGGCACAGATGCATTTATAATAAATTGTTTCCAGTTTAGGATGTTGAATGCTGGATCTTCTTGAATGTACGGGTTTTGCTTGTGAAAATTGTAAAAAGGTTTTGTCTAATGCCAAAGCTCCCTTTTCTCAGGTCATGTATTTCATCACAAAAATTAGGCTTTCGTGACTTCTGGAGAATCTTTAAAAGTATCAATAATAAGGGCAATTCTATTATTTCACCTCTATTGTATGGATCAGACTTTGTCACCTCACCTAAAGACAAAGTTAAATTGTTTGCTAAGAATATTTCATCAACATGATCTCTTAATTCCACTAGTTGCGTTCTTACTGATATAGCCAAAAAACAAGTTAATCCATCGCTTGACATTCGTATCACTCCAGCATCTGTATTATATAAAAGTGATTTCCTGCTTAGACTCTTATACAGCTTGCGGTCTGGACAACATACCTGTTATAGTCTTGCAGAATTGATCTCCGGAGCTATCACCTATACTTTCAAAATTTAACAAGTGATTATCAGAGTTTTGTTTTCTAGCCTTCTGGAAAGCGGCATATGGATTTCAATATTCTTGTTCTACAGCTGATTTGCTAACAGCAATAACCAATAGGTTTTATCATGCATTAGATAGAGGTGGAGAGGTTAGGACCAGGGCTGCGGAGTCGAAGTCAGAGTTGCAACCTTTTTAGCGGAGTCGGAGTTGCTAAACAAAATCGCGACTTTGACTCCAATAGTAAAACTTCTCGGTATTGCACATGCATGTACAAATCATTCATTTAACCTTTATTAATTATGTTCATACTAAACGTTAAAGAATGTTTCATAAATTTGTCAAAAAATTTTTTTTTAACTTATCGTGTAATAATTTTGAAAGAATCCAAAGAATTTTTCAAAAATTTTGCTTTGGAGTTGTAATCGGAGTCAGAGTTGTACTCAAAAAATTTCAACAACTGGAGTCACAGTCGCTACTTTTTTTTACGATTCCACACCCCTGGTTAAGACTATCACTTTTAACATTTCTAAAGCTTTTGATAAAGTTTGGCATGCTGGTGTTCTCCATAAGTTTTCTTCTTACGGTGTATCTGGTAATATCTTTATGATTGTTAAATAATTCTTTACCAATCGTAATATAAAAGTCATCCTTGATGGACATCACTCTTCTTTATACCTTGTAACTTCAGGGGTTCCTCAAGGTTTAATCCTTGGCCCTATACTTTTTTTAATTTACATTAATGATCTTCCAGGTATTCTAACATCTAAGGTGGCATTGTTCGCTGATGATACTACCATTTGCTCTTGTCTTGATAAGAAACCAACACTCTCGGATTGCTTGGAGGGGTCATTTGAACTTGAAAAGGACCTCACTTCTGCTACATCATAGGGCTCACAATAGCTGGTGAACTTTGATTCAGATAAAACCCAATTTTTTCAGCCAATTGTTATTGCAATAATTTAGATCTTCCTACATTTATGAAGAGTAATTTACTCAATGAGTCATCAACCCTTCATCTTCTAGGATTAACTCTTACTTCCGATCATTTCTGGAAACCATATACCAAATCCATTCCAAAATTAGCATCTGCTAAAGTTGCATCTCTTCTTATTCAGGATTCTATTATTTATCTATATAAATCTCAAATCCATCCTTGTATGGAACACTGTTGACATATCTGGGACGGATCTTCTAATGATGCCCTTTTTCTTTTAGACAAGGTGGAAAAACGCTTTGTAAACATAGTTGAACCTGCTTTTGCAGCCAACCCCCAGCCATTTTCACAACGTAGTAATGTTGCTTCCCTTTCTCTTTTCTACAAATACTATAATGGGCAATGCTCTAAAGAGCTAGCGTCTCTTGTGCCTTCTTACTAAAATTCAATCTCATGTTACTCTTCATAAAATTAAGTCTCATCCTTTTTCTGTGATTGTTTTTAATTGCTCCAAAAACTCTTATTCATCTAGTTTTTTTCCTCAAATATCAGTTCTTTGGAATTCGCTTCCTTCATTTTGCTTTCCTGATTCATATAATTTCTCAGGCTTTGTATATATAATAATTGCAAATTTCTCATATAGACATAGTGGGCACTTTTTGGAAATATTTGAGTAGGGGAGTACAGACCTAAAATGTTAAAATTGTTTTTCAAATCTCAGACATAGTTTGATAGGGTGGTGGACTTTTGGTATTTAACATTACTGAATGACAATTTGTGATTGTTATACCTTGAATATTATTATTGGGTTTTATGAAGGCTTATGGGTGTTTTGGGTTAAATTAATGGTGATATCATGGAAGTTAACTGATTTAGGATTATTTTTAATATCTATTTGAACATTTTATTAACAAATATATAAAATTTTATTATATTACAAACACTAGCAAAAATTAAATTTTTACTACTTGCCTGAATATTGTGGTAACACATGAAACTCGGAGTTGCAATATTTTATTATATTATAAACATTAACATTTAGCTAATTCATGGAACTGTGAGTAACAGTAACATATACTATATAGCTCTAGTTTATCTCTTGAGAACTTATATAGATATATATATATATAGATACTAGGAGTACAAAAGTACCTTTTCTTCAATTTCTTCTTTTTTTTGAACTTTACTATTCACTTTGTCAGCAAGATCCAACTCCCTTTTTTCAAAATCTTTCAGGAGCATTAACTCTTGAAACAAAGTTATTTGTCTAAAAATAAATTACTCAATTAAATATAAAAAAATATAACTGTTTATAATATAAAACTATTGATATATTATATATCAATTAAAAATTAAATTTATGTACAATTAAAAATAAGTTAATAATAAAAAAAATTGAACCATATGATTGTTACAACATACAACAAAATTTATATAAACAGTATTAATCTAATATTTTGTAAAAAAATAAATAAAAAAAAAGTAAATAAGTCTTGAATGAAACAAATAAAGATGTCTAACTAAGAAAAGAGATGTCTAAATAATCAGGTATATTTTTATAATAAAGCAGGTACTTAAGATTATAACAGTTACAAGAATAGGAAAAAATAAAAGAACAAAAAACTTGTTGAATATAGCAATAAAGAACATGCCAATAACATAAATAATTTTGTTTAGTACTTATAAATTTTATAATAAATATATAAATATTTTTTATTGTGTTTTTGTGATATTGGGAATATTTATTGTTATTGTTTTACAAAATATTGGAAATTTTCATTAAAAATGTCCTATTATTTCAAAAAAAAAAAGTCATTGAATTTTGGGAATTTTAAACCAAATGGGTATACGCGATGCCATTGGGCTGGTTAACACCTTGACTCCATAGATCATCCAGATCATATTTTTAAAATCCAGAAAATCATTTGGGTTAACTATCCAAACTTTTTAAAAAAAAAACTGGTTAACTTCTCTTTAATTTTCCCTCCTTAATTTCCACTTAATTTTGCTTTTAGCTGGGTGTGTCGCGTTGGTTTGACAAGATTCTTACTGAAATTTTTTTTATTAGGAGAATTTAGAAAAAATCTTTTAACTTTTTAATGTTTAGTTAAAATTGTTTTTTTATTTGTTTATGTACTCTTTTTTTGGTTGATGTATAAAAATACATAAATAAACAAAAAACATTTATATAAATATTTTTATTTAGACAATAAATAAAAAGAAAAAACGATTTATTTGCTATTTTCCAAATATAAAAAAAAAATCATTTAGAACCTTGTCAAACCAATGCGACAAGTTGTTTTCAATTTTTTTCCAATTCTTCAATTTTGTATGAGTAATGAGTAAAAAAGATTAAAAACAAATATATTACAAAAATATACACCTAAATATGTATGGAAAACATTTTATGCATGTATGGAAAATGTTGTGGATATCTGGAAAAACTAAAAGTTGAGTAAAATATTTGAAATTCCGGAAATATCCGGAAAAAAAATCCCTGCTTGATTCTTATAATAACTTTCTCTCTAACATTTTTTTCAGATGAGTTTTTGTTTATTTCAGAGATATCAAATATATTTAATCTTATATGTATGTTCATTACTCGCATACTTGTGATATGTTTGATAATGTTTAGAACAGGTTTAGAATCATGGATTTTAGTGCTGCAGATAATTGAAACAACATCATTCAACCTATTAGACAAATGCAAGGAAAGGTAACTAAAGTTTATCAAATAAAATAAGAAATAGCAATAATGATGAAGACAATGAAAAAAACAACAACAAATAATCATTTTGTTTAGCTTTTATCAAAAAACTTTCCACATAAAACAACATATAGTGGTTTATCATGTCTATTTATCAACTATTTTAAATTAACTTCTAAATGAAATAAATAAAACAAAACATTAAAATAGCTGATTTATTTCTAATATATAAATGTACATTTTGATCATTCTAGCTAGCGGAAAACTCAAAATTATGGTATGATCACCACAATCATCAGACCTCAACCAAATTGAGTTGCTATGGGAACAACTGCATCATGAAGTACAAAAATAGTGCCCTACATCAACAACTCAATTATGATCAATTTTACAACACACGACACACATAGAAAGTTAATCTGGGTCAAAACTTGTATGCGTAGTAATAAAAACAAATGGTAGATTTTTTGACAAAATTTTTTTTTTTTGTCAAAAAATCCACCCTGTTTTTATATTTGTTGCGTAAACTTGTTTAATTTCATCATAGATTTAAAAAGGCAGGTTTTTTTGTAATGAAATTTGGCTAAATGTAATTAGTTTATTTGTTTTTTATACTTTTTTTAAAATTTTTATTTTTTCCGAGTTTATTTGTTTTTTATTTTAATTTTTTTCATTTTTGACGAGTGACCATAAACTTTTTCCAGGCAGTGTTTATTTTTTTTTTTTTTAAAAAACTTAACAAAATTATTTAAAATAAAAGTTTAAATAAAAACCTCAATTCAGCATTTTTCATAATGACATCAAGAGAAATTTTTGTTTTTTGAAGTTCAAGCAATTCATTGTCAAACAAAGATATTTTCTCATTGATTTTTTTTAAAAGCTCATCTCTTCTGTATGATAACCTAAAGAAAATTAAAAATAAATAAATGCAAGAAAAGAAAATGTTTTTATCAAAGGAGGGATAAGAACAAATATTATGGACACCGTATAACTTCTTCTTTCTCAATTGCAATTTCTAAAGGTGAGCGATTTTTTTGTGTTGCATTACACTGAAAGTCTGAATCAGGCTGCAAACATATACAAAATTTTGTGAAATCAGTCAAATTTGATTCTGTTGTTGTGGTAACATCATTGTTAGTTATTAGAATTGCATCACTCTAAATAAATCAATAATAATTTCAAAAATACCAATTAATATAACAACATCTAATGAACACTAATCAATTTAAATGATATACTTATGTGAGTATTTAAATGATATATTTATGTGAGTATTTAATAAAAAAAAAATTAAAATGATATATTTATGTGAGTATTTAATAAAAAAAAAAATTAAAATGATATATTTATGTGAGTATTTAATAAAAAAAAAAAAAAATTAAAGCATAAGAAAAAAAATCCAAACTAGAAATATTATTTTTTTATAAATAAGTATTTTTTTAAATAAGTAAACTTGCTTCATATTTTAACGTATTGTCAATACCAAGAACATCTTTAGAAAACTTCAAAAAATCTTCCTTTGTAAAATTATACTTTCTGTAAAAATCAACTTTATGTTAAACAAAGTCAGTTCAAACATTACACATTCTAAAATACTTTAAAAAAATTTTCTAAAAAAGAATCACTTCTCTGGTACTTCTTCATCATGTGTAAATACAATTTCAGGTAAACGAGAAACATCACCAAGTTTGTCTTCTATCTTCATTGTAGCTTCAATTAAGCTCCTTAACTATGCAAATAAAAAAACTTTTTAAAATTCTCTATTGTGTATGTAGAAACAAAACTATCAATTGTTTGTAGAAAACATAAATTTTAATTTATCACAAATAAAAAAACATACTTCTTCAGAAACATTCAACTTCTTGTCTCTTAGGCCAATTACTTGATCATTGAAAGATTTTTTAATGTCATGTATCTAAGTAAAATTATTAAAGTATATTTATTTAATTCATGTTTAATTCAAATTATTTTTAAAATAAAAAAGAAACAAACAACCTTTTGCATTAGATCTAGCAGTTGAGCTGATTTCTTTTCAGCATTTACTCTTTGATGCTCGGGTACAACATAATCATCTGCTGTTTTTAACTTAAAATCTCCTATAGTCTGTTCTGCAAGTTTAATTGTTTGTAGATCATCTGGATCCTCGTAAGTTTTGTCAGGCTTACTCTTGTAAAACTCTTCCCACTTTGAAAAAGAAAAAAACTACATTACATAACTTAAACACTATAATCAAAACAACTAATCAAAACAAAGTATAAATTCAAAAAACCTCTTTTTGCCTATTCACTCTTTTTTGTTTTCTCTCTTCTGCTTTTTCAATTATTTTTGCTATCTTACTATCCAGTTTTTGCACAGACTTTTCACTAATAAGAGAGAGATTGCTTTTTGTTTCTTTTTCTAACTGCATAGGTTTTATGGGTCCACGAAATCCAACAGAAATTTTACGACTAGATTGAGCTGCAATGTTTTAAAAACTTCATTTCAAAATATAAAGAAACAGTAATCAAAACAGAAAAAATATCATTTGTAATAATCAAGGTAAGAAATTCTATTTAGAACAAATACCTGCATTTTCTTTACGCTGACTTTGTGCTAAAGAATAAAAACTGCCTTCCAATTTACTTAGACGGAACGAGCTCACTGACTGCCCAGATATGAATGCATGGAGAATAATTAGTTCATATTCAATCATGTTCTTATACCTAAAAAACAAAAACAAAAAGCTTAAATAAACTTTTTGCTTTTATACAAGTTCACTTTTTTAAGTGTAAGATAGTGCTAAAGTTAATAGAGTTTACTTCTTTCCTGCACCCTTAGTCGGTGTATGTACTAAAGCATATAGCTTTAATATAAATAATTAAAAAATATAACATAAATAAAAATATTTAACATAACAAGTAAAGAAAATAATCTTTTTTACAGAAAATTTCCAGTTTGTTTTTAAAAATGATTTTTTTGTAACAGAAGGTGAGAAAAAAAAAAAGAGAATACTTTAGTTTTAAAATAAAAATCATATAGTTATTTCTAATAATAATAATAAAGTTATTTTTTTCATAAGGTCTAGTTTTTAACTATATGAGTGATACCAAATTTAATTTTTTAAATTATAATAAAATTTGTAATTCCTAATTTTATGGTTATATAATTAGATTTAAATATAACAATTATATTATAACTAATTATTAGATTAAAAAAAAAAAAAGTGTTTTTGACTTTACATATTATTTTTTTATGAAAGTTGAATTTCTTTATGTTTTTCACTTTTTTTCTTTTACTGCAATAGAAACAAAGTTCATGCTGCATAGTTTCAATATCTATTAATGTAAGATATCAACAATTTTATTTTTTTTAATTAAATTTTTTTTCAAGTTGAGAGTTAACAGAAAACAAATAAAAAAAGTTGCAAAAGAAAAGAAAGATTTTCGACAAAAGAATTAAAAAACTGCAACTTGTATGTGTTGAAGACAGGAGAGAACTCCAAAGCATGATATTTAGAACATTTGACAACACTGCAATAATTATTAACTCTAAGCTGTTACAAAAGAGAGATCAAATTCAAGATAAACAGCCTATTCTATTAGATCAACTTCTATAAGGTCATAAGGTTCAAGATCAATATACTAATATCTTGACAACATACTAATATCCTGACAATACATTAATATCTTGACAAAATACTAACATCTTGATAACTCATTAATACAAATAAATATTAGGTCTTTACATAATTTAAGTATATAGATCCTTATGTAATTTAAATTTAAGTACTTGGTTCTACACTATAAAAGGTTGAAATTTTTATATTAAGTTAGTTTTTATATTATGGATGGCCCCTAAAGTTAAGCGCCGAACGATTAAAAGAATAATCGCAATTTCATTTAAGGGTGAAGTAAAGATGACCACAGATACGTAAAACTCAATAGATTAAATGTGATTAGCTGAGGAAATCAAGCGTAGTATAGAAGCAAATTATGTTGTTTAGAAGCGTAGTATAGAAGCAAATTATGTTGCGCATAGTGAAGTTTCTACTTTCATTCTTTCGTAATACATAACGTCTGCTTCATTAAGAGAAGACAATCAAATAATAAAAAATTGTTATAAATAAAAACGATGCAAACACTAAAATTTAAAACAACTTTTGAAAAGAAAACTTTTTTCGGAAATGATGAAGGCTAATTAAAAATTATTTCAAATTTATAAACTTACATAAGGAGCTACTCTTTATTTGACTAAATATAAGAGAATCAAATAGTAATGTGGGTAGTCATAACGGAAAGATTTCATAGATTTGTAAAATAAATGAAAAACAAATTTGCTCAAAAATTTAAAACCAACTTAAAAGTAAGATATGTGATATACATTTAGTAAAGTATAGATTTATACTTTCCAAGTTATAAAATTATATTTAAAAAAATGATTTATTATACAACTTCTACTTTAAAAGTATAATTTTCTACCTTAATGGTATATTTTTCTACATTAGATAATAAAAAATTATATTTACTAAGGGAAAATCACATATTCAACCATAAGATAGAAATTTTTTTTTTTTAAGAATATAAATAACCAGAAAAGAAAATGGAATGTTGAGTCCTTAAATATTATCTAAAATTCAAGAAGTCTTCTTTTAGATGAACTAATTGAAATGGATATAACATTCGACTCAAAGATATTAAACTATCAACTTCATATTTTTACATTCTATTTACAGATCTTTTAACCATTATATACTAGGTATTCAGTTTTTTGTCAATCAAGGAAACAAAATGGTGTGCTTTGTTTCTTAAACTCACAGTAATCGTCAAGTTTATTTGGCTTCAGAGTAGCATGCACTTATTTCTGTTGATTTGGTAGTGTAGAAACAAAAAGTTAGTTTTTGTCTGAAGCTGGTGTTATGAAGGATACTCTTGGATAGAGTAACCTTAATTTGCTAACCTTAACTTTTTATCCTTAAAAATATCCAACATACAAAAGTAACTATTGTCATGCTAGTTTTTTAATTTTTATAGAGTTGCAAAAAGGATTAAATTTTGAATTCCAAATAGTTACCCATCTAAAACTAATATTCTAGATTGTTCTAGATTAACATCATTTTAATCATTTTCAATTTATAATTATGAATGGCTTATCTACAGTTATCTATCTTATTATTCATAGAATAGCTAACTATCTTATTAGTCATCTACATAATAGTTATCTATCTTATTAGCCATCTACAAAATAGTTACCTATCTTACTAGTCATCTACAGAATAGTTACCTTTCTTATTAGTCATTTACAGAATAGTTTATCAATTATAATACTTATCTAGTTTAATTTCAATTTAAAAAAATATGTAAACAGCAAAACCAGTGAGCTTGATTTCAATGAGCATTAAAAAAAGTTTATAAAATTTTTTGCACATATTGCATAGATGAGTATTTGACTTTTTGAAAATCCCAGAAATTTTTTTCTATGAAAATCCCAGAAAATTATTTAATTAAAAATTAATCGTTTTACCAGTTTTTATTCATTTTTATATACGCATCTATTGATTTTTATATGCGTGTTTATTTATTTAATTCATTTATTCATTTAATTAATTTATTAATTTAATAATATAATAAAATTAAACAAAGACCTGAAACTAAATTAAATAAACCATCATGGAATGTAAAAAGTCTTCATTTTAAGTATTTTTAACCTCATTTACCAGGAAATAAGAAAAATCTGTTTTGAAAAAAGTAAATTGTATTTTCAAAACAAAATGCTTAAATGATTTTTTTTTGTTTTTAGGGGCTGTCCATTAATTACGTCAAAATTGTTGACAAATTTCCAGAGACCCCCCCCCCCCCCCCTATAAAATTGCATCAATGTTTGATTACCACCCTCCCCCTCTAATACAAAGAAGCTACGCTACAAATTTTCTGTTATTTAAGCAATGAAATTAAAAAAAAAAAATGTTGACATCAACTTTGATTGACCTCTCCCCCTCAAAAAAGGAATTTCTAATATTCGAAAAAATTAATTTGAATGAATTAAAAAGCAAAAAAAAAAAGTAAAAAAATTGTTACGAAAATTGATCTCGTAAAAACTTTAATTATAGAAAACATTAATAACAAAAAACATCCAGAAATTTATGGAAAATTAAAAGTGAATTTCCAGAAAAAACTTATCTATGATATTGATATACTAAATATTTACAACTTTAATTATTAAAAAGATAAAAAGTGTAGATAAATGTACAAAAAATAAAAACATCAAAAATAAGCAATAAACTTACATATCGCAATTTAAAATTATTTTGAAGGAAAAAATAAAGTTTTAAAAATCTTGAAACAAATTAGAGCTATAACCAGAATTTAGTAAAACTGTAACTGAGTGGGAAGTTAAAAAAGAATAAAAAAATTATAAGCAATGCTAATGTAGCACTTGAACTCTCTCTTAACTTTAAGATACTACATGAGCCTTATCATATCTTTAAAAAACCAAATAATTCTCCTTTCATTTTTGAAGTATTCCTACTCATATATAATGGTTACAAATGATCCCTTTCTCATTGACCTTCCCTTTATGATACTATACTCTTCTAAGTTATAAATAAAGAAAGTTTGATGTTTATGTTGTCAAAATATTTACATGTTTTTTTATATCATAGAATCTCACAATACGTTTACCTAAATTCTTGAAAAATATTTTCCATACAAAAGAATAAAAACAAAATACTTTGCTTGAAGTTTATGTAATCCTATACTATGCTTCTCTGTCTCCCACGCCATTTCCATTTTTAATTGTTCAATCTAAATTTATTTTATTCAGTATAATTTACAAACAAAATTTTAAATTTACACAGACATTAAAAAGTAAATATATTGTATGCAATTGCTGGCTATTAACAATGTGAATTTAATTTGTTTCATGCAAACAAGACTTGACGAGACATGAAAATAATTTTTATAATAGCATAAAATGAACCAATAATAATAGAATAAAAACAAACCTTTGCATTAGTTTCCTGCTCATTATTTGCATGTGTTTGAGTGTCAATTATAAAATCCTTTTAAATAATAAAATAATCAAAGAAAAATATTTAATTATGCTAAATATATTTAAAATATTTAGCATAATTACATTACAATAACATTATTGTCATAATTAAAATTTTCAATTTGGTTGTTACAAAATAAAAATACTTCTAGCGTATATTAGCAGCAAAAAAGACATACTTCAGGACTTAATTGTATATATGAAGGAAGTTCTTCATTTCTCATTTTTAAAGCTTTAAATTGTTGCCTCAAGTTAAATATTGTATTTCTAACTTTGTCCTTCTTTTCTTGTGCTAGTTGCATTAACTTGTCATTTTCAGCCTTTTGTTTTTCCATTTCAATACTGCTCAAATTATTATTATAATTATTATTTCAATACTAATCAATAAAAAAAGGTTATTAAAAAGCTAAAAATAGTAGATACTAATTAATGATTAAGTTAAAAATAAAGTGAATAAGTTAAAGATAAAAGATTCTAAGCAGCAACTGTAAAATTCAAAATCTCAATAAGTACCTATAATGATTTGAATCTTTAATGTCATAAACTTGCTTAACATGCTCAGAGTTAAAATTCCAGTCCAACTTGCTATCAACATTCAAAACCAATGGCTGCACTTGTGATGCTTTAGTAAATTTAAAAACAAACAGGTTTCCATCTTCTCCTGCAGAAACTACATATCTGCTATCAAAACTTATACCCACACTTGCAATGACTCCATATTGATTGTCATGAATGTTAATAGACCAATATTCAGAAGATAAGCTTTCAAATGAATTTGACTGCAACTTCTGCATTCGTAAAGAACCATCATTAAGACCCATAATTACATAATTTGAACCAGCAGCAGAACTAACATAAAAAAAATTTTTCAAATTAATTTAATTTAAATGCTTAAAGAACAATTGTAAAAGGATTTAGAAAATCATAGATAAATCCAAATTGCCTGAGCCTTATAAAACTCTCCTTCTTATACGCAAAGCCAGACTTGATTGTTCAACTGGACAGTATGTTTATAAACAGAGAATTAAAAATGATGAGGAGTTTCAGTTGAGGAAATTTTGTTTCTTTCGTGTACAGTACTGTTGTTTCGTGTACAGTACAGTTTTGTTTCTTTCGTGTACAGTTGAGGAAATTTTGCTTCTTTCGTGTACAGTACTTGTGCAACTTAAAGAATAGGAAACCAATGTTGTTCAAATGGACTAGCAAAACATCCTCAACCAAACATTGTCAAACTACGTATGCAATATGGTAAAAAAAGCCAGTAAATTATTAAAGCAGAATATGAATTTTTATGTCAACTGAGCTCAACTCAACTACATTAGACTCATTTTAAAGTCAAACATAAATTAGAATGTACTGTAATTGATGGCAAAACTTCTACTACTTTTTCTTCATTAAGTAATTCTCACCAAGTTTGCAGTTTTTGTGGATTAAATCCCCTTTTGTCTTTAATGTCTATTACATATTGGACTGAGAAGAAGTCTAGAAATAAGAAGAATTATTTTGGATTTTTTCAAACACAGCTGAAAAAAAAAAACAATTAGTTGTTGAAAAAAAAGAAGTTGCAGAAGAAAAAAAGAAAAAATACACTTGGACTTGTTATTGATGTTTCAAGAAGTAGAGGCTCTGGCACATTTAATGATGAAAACTCATCAAAAAAGACACAAGCCACAAAATCTTGCTGAGATACTTGTAGTTGATAAAAAAAACTTTGTGATAATGTAGACCTTGTTAAAAGATTCTACATTATTCTTTACATGTAGTGAGCGAGGTTAAAATTTGACAGGGGCCATCATCATCATCATCATCATCATCATCATCATCATCATCATCATCATCATCATCATCATCATCATCATCATCATCATCATCATCATCATCATCATCATCATCATCATCATCATCATCATCATCATCATCATCATCATCATCATCATCATCATCATCATCATCATCATCATCATCATCATCATTATCATCATCATCATCATCATCATCATCATATGTAATGCACTCTCTCCAAGTTTTCTTACATCTTACTTCTACCTTCATTTTCATTCTGAAGCTGCTACCTTTCAACAAGCTGATACCCAAACCACTTTAATCTTTTCTGACAAACATTTTTGGATACAACATTTTTTTCTAATCTTTGTCTAAAATTATACAGGATTTAAATTAACTTGACAAAATCTAATTGTGAGAAATTTTTTTTTTGTTTTGTTTAAATGTTTCTACTTTTAAAACTATTTTCAAGAAACAAAATATAATTATCTATTCAAAACGTTATGATTTAAATAAAACTTTCTTCCTCACTTGCACTATGTTCTAAATCTGATATTGTGACTGGCTGTATTATTATCCATTGAAATTAAAATCTCTTAAAATATCTCCGTACTTTATAAAACAAAAACATTTTTAAATACGGAAAACTCAAAAAACTTTATAGCAGCAAAAGCATGCTTTTAGGATTTGGCTCAAACAGAACTGTGTGTTGCAAAAACTACAAAATCATCTCAAAGTCTTTTTTAAAAGATTTTAATAAAAAAAGGTTCCTTAACCAAGTTTCATAATTTTTCATTTTAAAAAAATGAAAAAATATGCATTAAAGGAATAGATCGAGCTGTCAAGCCCAAGTGAAATAAAGAAAAAATTAGATGAAAAGTTATATTGATACCTGATTACAAAAGATGTAACAGAAACGTAATCGTTTATGCCCACCATCTTGATTGCTTTAACAGAATCCAAAATATTTGTTGTGTTATCAAATTTACAAATGTAAAAATAATCAGAGTCCCATCCATCCTGAAAAAAATATTCTTATATCAATTACAACAAAGTATTAAACTAATTTTTCTAATTATTTTAATTATTCTAAATAGATTATGTGAATAATGTTATTTGAGTATATTTGAGTATATATTTGAGTTTACGTTTATTTGATTAATAAAGTAAATTAAGAACATTAAGTTAATTTGCTTATTTATGATAATTATGATAGATTAATTATGATGGTTATTTTAATTACTTATATTAAGATAAGCTTTAGAATTTATATTTCCATTATCAACTTTTGACAAAACTTGTTACATTTATGTTGTTACTATTTAACAAAAAAAATTTGAGAACTTTAAGTAAAAACCTGAAAATTTCTTGGCAAGAATACTTAGGGAAAAAGTTTTAGAATTTAAATATTTTCAGTAACAAAAAGGCATCAAAAGCTATATTTTTAATACATAAATTGGAATTGTGCAGTGCACACTTTATATTTAACTATATTTTTTCATCTTGAAGACTTTTTTTTGAGAAAAGAGAATAAAGTTGAGTTGTCAGCAAATAGAGACACTTTAGGTTGTCAGGAAGATCATTAATATAGATAGGATCAAAGATAAAACCTTGTGGTAACTAAGAAGTTGTTGGAAACAAAGGAATGGACAAAAAAAGAGGAAAGGATTCAGTCAGGCACTGATTAACTAGGTTAGAGAGAACTGTATAGAGTTCTGGAAAACACTTTTGTAAGAATATGATAGAAATGTTGTTTGGAACACAAGCCGTAGAAGAGTTTAACTGAGATATGACATTAAAAAATGGAAGCTGGAGTGATTTGAATGTCTAACAATGGGTTAACCTGTTTAACTAGAATGGTAGGAAGAGTATGGCCATAAGGTTTAAGAGTCAAGCTAGAAGAAAAACTCTTTACAAATAGTTCTGCATTATCCTTGGAAAAGGTAATAAAATCAACCTGATGAATTAGAGATGGAATGTTAGATTTACCTTTGTTAATGCTGAAGATTTCCCAAAAGTCTCTAGAGCCCAACTTTTGAGATAAAAAATTTAGTAAACTAGAAATAATAGAGCTCAGCCTCAGACAGCACTTTTTTATATTGATTTATATTGAAATAATAAATAGGCATTTGTTCTCAAGAGCGTTGTTTTTTTGAAAAAGATTACAATCAAATATAGCAGCTGCACAAGAAGGTGAAAACCATGGAGTAAAATGAAGCTTGACTTGGAATTGATGAGAAGGAATAAAAGCTTTTATACCTCCCTGGATACAGAAGATTATGTAGGAGGCATATATATCAGTTGAGAGAGAAAAGACAACCAAAAGATTGCCAAGAACTGTATAGAGTTTTTTTAATTATTAAAGGAAGTATTCCTTCTGAATACTTCCTTTAATAATTAAAAAACTTCCGTGACATTGACACGAACCAGAATTAAAAAAAATAAAACAAACCAAAAAAATTGCACTTGTTTTGTCCGCTGCAAAATGGCACTTGTCAACGAAATTCTGCCTGTGTGCTGTCACCTGTCAGCTGATTGCTCATGTCATGGCATGCTATGACTCCAGACTCCTGAACTGTTTTCTGTGGTATTATATTTCGTTTCATTTTTAAGACATGTAAAATTAGGAACACTTTTTAGCATTGTTCGATCTTGTTTTGTCCAATACTGTATACAGCATTTAATTAGTGTAATTAAACATTGTAGCGTGGTTCTATTGCCAGTAACATAATATTTTTTAAACATTTTTATTTACAAAAAAGCAGCATGCATGATAAGCACTTGTTAAATAGTTTTGAAAATATAGACAGCAGCTCCGGAGAACACTTCTGCAAGATTATTACAGGTATGCTGTCCAGACTTGAAGCTGTGGAAGAGTCTAAGCAGGAAACCACTTTAGATACAGAAGATGGAGTGATATGAATGGTAGGCAATGGATGAACCTGTTTGTCAGCTATATCAGGTAGGATATGATCATTAGGAGATAACAAGAAATGAGGTTGATGAGAAGTTCTTAGCAAATAATTCAACTTCGAGTCGAGTAGAGAAGGTAAATGATTTAGATCCTCTGGAAAGCGAATTAAAAAGTTGACTATTTGTGTTAAAGATTAAGGAAGGTAAAAGTTGTGAACTTTAACACCTGCAGAGTCAGAGCCAAGTGCTATGGCCAAATCATGCTAGAGCCAAGCCATTCAGTGAGATGAGCATTGAAGTTACCAACAACAACGATATTGGCTGAAGGATAAAGAGAAAGGGCTTGTTCAATTTGATTAGAAATAACATTGAAAAGAATGCAGTCTGGAGACGAAAGAGAGCAATATAGAACAAAGAGAAAGGTGATAGAGTGAAGAAGATAAACAAAAGTACATAAAAGAACAGTCTGCGGATTCCAACCTAGTTTCCTGACAAATGGATGAATTCTTACAAATGAAAATACCCAGGGCAAGCATGTGACTATTGGAATCTTTATGAAGTAAAGGAAGATAACCATCAACACTAAGATCACAAGATGAGACAGCTAAACTCAAAATAGTCTCACAAAGAGCAAGTAAAAACTTAGTGATGACAATGGCTTTTTGTGTTTTATAGTTTTCTATACTTTAGCCATTTTTTAAATTGGTTAAAGAACAGATAGTACTTGGTACACTATCTAATAGTCCAAGCAATTGCCTCATTACTATTTATAAACTCTAAGCCATAAAAAAAGTGCTTCAAATGTGACAATGCACACCAAAAGTACAAGCAGGGACATCATCCATGCAAAACATGGCACTGTTAGTATTCTGATATTTTACAGCTGTTGATGAAATCAGCCTCTCTGAGAGCTACCACAAAGTTTGGAAACCTGACTACCAGCCAACCTTAGAGCCATAAAACTGAGTTTTAGAGCAGTACCCTCATTAGGAGATAATAGAATGAGTTGCCTAGTCATAAAAACAAGGACACAAGCAAAATCCATTCAATGAGTCAAGAAGGTCTACCATTTAACATCCTAAATAAGAAACAATGTAAAATAAAGACATATACATCAGCTTAATAGATGAATGATTATACTTTCTGTTTTTTTCTTACTCTTACTTAATGTTTGCAATAAATTGTATATATATTTGCCATGTCTACAACTAATAACTCTGTGCTTATTAAGACAGATTATAAGTAACCTCTAACAAAAAATCTAAAATGTGTACTCTGTAAAAATACTTTAACTAATAAAACATTGTGTAAACACAATAAAAAAACTCTATAAACTATAAACATGAAAAACAGATATGTTATAAAGATTGAACAAATACTTGGTGTAGAATATTCTATATGTGGTATAAAAAAATAGTTATAAAGAAAACAATGTTTTATTATATTGGTAAAAAATATGCTGACTCAACAATTTTTAACTCGGCACAATCAATCAAAAGCTGTATAAAAAAGAACTGAAAAATTAAAATAAAGAGAATGTTTCTACATAAAATTTATGTAAGTGCAAATTTGGAAGAATTTGGATACATATATGGATACATATTGTTCAGATAGTTCATTACAACTTAATGAATTTGAATTAATGAAAACTTTACAACTGCTCTTTATTAAATACATTTTATTTAAGGTAATTATTTTTTAAGCATCTTTTTTACCATTACCAATAAAAAAATAATACTAATTTTAACTACAAATGTAATTAAGCCATATGCTACTAATTAAATTGAAGTGAACTAAAATAAAAAATTCAATTTATTTTATATAATCATAAATTCTCATAAGTCTCATTTCATTACTTATCTCAAATTTTTCTTCAGTACCAAAATAATTTTTTATTTTAGTACAAGTTCATTTCCATGAACCATATGGTTAAATAGAAAATATGTCAACTGTCTATTTAACCATGGTTAAATAGATAGTTGTTCTCAGGAAACTTTAAGGAATTCTTAAACAAGATTTATCTTTACACTGCATTAATATTGAAAAACTAGTAACCAAAATTGCCTAAAAAAATGTTAAGATATACAAAATTAATTATGTCAACACATAAAAGACTGATTGATTTCATTGATATGATTAAATGTTACTATGGAGTTAAATAATTTTTTTCTATCTTGTTTATAACTTTTAGTTTTTATTTTTTTTTAGCAATATTTGAAATCAAATTTTATTTAAAATAAAACAGTTTTGGCAATATTAATTAGACATGATTTACTAGCTATGCAGAACCATAACAACAGAAGTTAAAACAAAAAATACCCCTCAATTTCTTAAGCAACTAATAAAAAAAAAATCAATACAATTATAATAACTAAGGAGAACAGAGAGAACTTTGAGCTCTTTATTTTCATTTAAAAGATGTTTTTTAACTCAACTTGCTAATTATTACAACTGTAATTTTTAGTGTGCCAACTCCTCCCTAACCTCCACTCTCTTAAATGATCTGCCTGTAAACCGCTATTTTTTCAACAACTACATTAGCAAACAACAATGATATTACCCAACAACAACTACATTAACCAATAACAATGATATTAACCAACAAAAATTATATTAATCAACAACAATGACACTATTTAAATTACACTGATATCTCCAAAGGAGTTTATTTATATTAATATTAGGCAACACATTAACAAAAAGTAGACCCTGATCAACAATCTTCCCGCTCAACCTTCTTTATAGCAAAAATCATAACTCTTAACAACTATTTTTACTATCCGCCTTCATCATTATTATTAGTTTATTATTATTATCTAAACTATTAACCTTGTATTTTTTTTTAAATGTGTAAAGTAAAAATTACCATCAACTCTTTCAGCAAATTAACTTTGAAAACAAAAATTGACATTAAAGTTAAATAAATTTAAGTATAACAAAAACTTGTGTAATCAAATAAACATTATTATTATGTTTTATAACTATATTAGATTATCTACTGTAAGATATCTACCATTATCTAAAGTATTAGAAGAAAATCTACCATCAAGAAATTTCAGTTAAATTTTTTTTATTTGCCTAAAAACTTTCAAAAAATAAAAAATAATTTCAGAACATACATAGGTTGATAATTTATTCACTTTTTTAAACATTAAATTACTAAATGTAGTCTGCTGTATTTTCATCTTGTATTAGCGATATTATATGGTGCTATAAAAAAAGACCTCATATCTAAACTTAAATCTTATTAAAAAATTATAAAATTATACTAATTACATAACAAGTTTTTTTAAAGTACAAACCATAAAAAGTATTTAAAAAACCTACTACAAGTAAAATTTTTTACCAAGAATAATATGAAGTGCTTGTAATCAAAGCCATAGATACATCTAAGTACACTGCCTTGAGGATGCTTCTCAGGCATGCTATTTTCTTCATTTTCATTTTCTAAAACAGTTTCTTCTTCAGCTTCTTTAGCATCCGGATTTTGTTTTTTAAAATTTTCTTTTTCGATTCGTTCTTTTTCTCTTTTAGCTTCTATTTCCAATCTCTTCAAAAATTTAAAATATTTTCAAAAGCATTTAATTTTTAAATATAATATTTTTTTAATAATAAAAAATTTTGATATTTATTTTTAATATACTTTTAATAATATGTTGATTTACGTTTTATAATTTTAACATTTAATAAAAAAAATTTTTTTGCGGGATAGCTTAGTTGGTTACAGTGTCAAAATGAATAGTTAAAATCCGGACTGTTTAACAATACAAGTTCAAATTCTGTCACCGCCAACTCAGCGCTTGAGTAGTACTTCTGTATGCAAAAATGTTGGTCAATAATGGACGCTCTTTTGAATAAGTCTTAATGACTATTTGTGGCTCTTCCTATGCTAAGCCAATAATATCTTCAGATATAAAAACATTGTATATAAAAATATAGCACTAAAATTCAAATCAATAAATAAATAAAAAATAAATAAAGCAAATAAAGACTTAATAAAATTTAATGAGTTGGCCACTAATATTTAAGTTGGAAGCAATAAAGTAAAGAACAGAGTAATAGATCAAGAAAACAGCTAATAGAAGACTTAAAAAACATGTAAAGTGTATGAGTCAAGAAAAATGA